TCCAAACTGGGAGTAGTTGGGAGACGGAGAAAAGCCGCGACCTCGACCGGCCTGAGCCGTGAAAATGACAGCTTTCACATGGTATCCAGGTGATCCAGTTGCTCCCAAACGTCTGAGTCGGCTGCCCGAGACGTCGGGCACGTCATGAGTAATCTCTGCAATCGCATACCGCCCCGACTTTAAACTTACTGCATGCGGTTGGATGAGGGATATCCCCTTAGTCGTTGATTCATCGGTGGCATATGTTGTATGGGCGGCCTGTGTTCTGTTGTCTAGGCCAACGTTCCAGTGTAAAAAACTTCCTCTTAATGACCACAGTTGTGGGAAATTCTCTCGGTTCCTTCTGGTCATCAGGTAATATGGTAATTCCGTTGTTAATTGTGTGGTTTGGCCCTAGGACCGCTAGTTCATGAACGGGACCGTTAGACCCAGCGTTGGTGTCCATCCGTCCTCTATCTTCCTACATTTTACCAGTCTCGTGACGGATACACTGCCGGCTTTCGTTAAAGCCATGGTCGATAACGGCTCTACACATACAACGCGGATTGGTTCCGCGCAGTTGGTCTAAAGGACGGTGTTTTCTGTGTATCGTTAACTTCACTGGTGGAGTGTCCTATTTAAGCAGTCGTGCGTAAGTTCAAAATTTTCGGCAGCTAATATTTTCATTCTGATGGTAACTGTGTGTGTGGTTATTAGGCGAACATGTGGACGTTCAATAGACTTGTCCTGTCTCCGTACAAGGTCTCACGACTCAGATGTGGGAGAACTGTGGAGTCAAAACGTCAAGGTAAATTGTCCTAAATTTTTAAAGATATGCTCCTGACAGAGCACCGGAACCGTTACGGCCAATTGTGGTAAAAAGCCAAGTAGGTATAAATCCAGAACCCCTGGTATTGGCAGCCAAGATTTTCGCGCAGCTTGCTTCGCGGAGAAAGAAGTTATTTGTACTCACGAAATTTATCAGTACACCTCAGTAAGGATTCGAATGATCGTTAGCGACAATTTTTTCCAGAAATCTTTCTGTCTTCTTACGCAGAGTTCTTGGGCGCGAATATGTTAACCACATATTCCGTTTCAGCTAAATAGATTAATCGTGCGGTAGGATCAAGTTGAGTGTGCACCCTGTACGATCGCTGGCCAAAACTACTTAGGTGGAGTTGTCACGAGTTGAGTAAGTTTCTGGAGGAGGGATGCCGCAAGCCTGCAGTGGCTTAGTAACAAAGGATATAAGTAAACAACTTTTAGAAGGACGAGTAGCGGACTGAGGGAAGTGACGGGTTGTTTCGCGGAACAAGCTGTTGTCAGGTCCATTTATTTTAAAATTCACCCATGGAACTTTCTCAGTAGACTACGGAGCAGAAGCTATGAGACGCCGAATATCCAGAGCCTTGGTACGCGAATAATTGGCCCAAGTCAGTGCGTGTATGTGTTTTGTGTTGACTACAGAAAAAAGGTGTAAAAGTGGCTCCTCATCGATATTAGGTCGGAAGTTGCCGGACCAGTTAATTAAGGACTGAAAAAGCTCTTCATTGGCCATTGCCGTCCCCACCGTTGATTCCACCTGACTAGAAGAGGGTGTGTCGCAGTGGCTTAAGTTAACAGGGAAAGTCCTTTCTCCTGCGATCTTCAGGCCCGGTTCCATGTGGCAAGAGAAGACGTGAGACGCCGAATGGAAGGAATAACTTATTCCACAATGTCGTCCCTTGTCTGTCTTAGCTCTTGTGTCAAGAAGACCGGAAACAGAATTAGGTGCAGTTGCAGACAAGACTAATCAGTTCGTCTGCGCACGTCACGCGTGGCTGGTCTACGAACAGTCGGACTATAATTTTGGGCGGGTCCACACGCCGTTTACATGATCGGCTTCTCTCACACATTAGTGCCGCGAATGAGCGAACTGGTGATTATTGAAAGTAGGCAGCCAACGACTTGTCACCTTGTCTACTGTAGTTGTGTGCATCCATTGTTTAATTTTCTATTCAACAGAGTATCCTGAGGAAATGAGGATGACTGCCTCGCTCCAATCGAACAAGTATTTGATCAGACGCCGTAATATATACCCACTGAAATATACTGCAATGTCAATTGTACTACGCGAATGCGGGTAACAAGGGCCTTTTAGGATAGGGGGTGTGCAGTGTTATTGAATACTTAAAAGAGGACTTATTGATCTCGGATACAGTGCCTAGTCGCATGTCAGAGTCGCCACAACCCATCAATCTGTTAGTACTCAGTGCAGTT